GCTCATCAGTGTGCTACCTGATTCTTGAGGGGTTATTAGAAAGTTGTCAGGACATATTAAAACCAAATATTTAAAGAAATGCATAACTGCAGGACATAGTCTATTTTCCATCTGGTGGTAACTCCACAATTTTCAAAGAGAAACACTGATGATAATTATAACCTTTCTTAGATCCCTAGGATTCTCTACCTGTTTTATCTCAATACTTAAAACAACTGTAGTTAGGTATGTTGTGCTATTGTCATTGTTCAGGGAAGTACAATGAAACCAATGCAGGTTTTAACTTATCCAAGATAATAATGATTAGTAAACCACTAATCCAAGACTGGAACTGAAGTCTCTTGTGTTCTGGATCATTGATTTTTCCTTCTGTTATTTTTTGGCAATAATTAGAGGGGGGCCAGAGTAACTCTATCTCTATAAACTTTTATCAGACTAGAACATTACCAGAGATTAAATAAAGAGTTTCCTTTAAGAGCTACATGAACAAAGTAATGATGCCAGTGTTCTTCAATGCACAGATACTGCCCAGCCTACATAGGCAGAAAGTAGCCTGCTTTGTGCCCCTGGGGTCAAATTTTTAAGGAATTCTATGCTGATGAATACTTGTACAGAGGCTTCAATGAAGGAATGTGTAAGAATCAGAAAAGTTGCTCATGTTTCTTATTAAAAAATGAATTTTGTATTCAGCTCCTTAAAAATGTACTTGCATGGGGATTGATGGAGGCTTATCAACTGTGTGTCCTCATACATTTCCACACACCTGGAGACTCACTGCCTCAAGGCTCATGACTCATTTCAGAAGAGCTGTAGCAAAGGCAGGCAGGGAGGAAAGGGATTTCAGGGGCTCATCATTCAGAGGCTCATTGACTTTCATGCAAATGACTTGTGCCTGCCTGAGTGCACATTTCTAAAGTAGACCCTGTTTCTGTTTCTGTTTGCTTTTATTAAAAAAATCTATATAAAAATCTGCCAGACCAAGTGCACATTAATGAGCAAAATGTCTGCAGCCAGCCATGTAGAAAAGCAAACTGTTTACCACAGAGGCTGATAAAACTGCATCATAAATTCTTAGTGTACAATTGTGTTTTTTACTTCATCATGGAAAACCCTGAAACAAATGAAGATATTTTGACATCATGTATATCAACTTCACAGTACCTACAAGTCTGAGTCTCCCAAGTCAGTGACATGTGGAAAACGGGCTTTGTAAGGATCTACTGGCAGCTCATAAACTCTAACTGGGCTTTTTGGGGAGTTCTGTAATTTGAGGAACAGAGAAGCCTTCCATCCTCCTCACTGCAGAGAAAGGCAGAGGGGCCAGAGGCAGGGCAGCTCCAGTGCACTCACAGAGGCAGCAGGTACAGCAGGGTGGGAGGCTGCATGCAGGGAAGACAGAGGGTTCCAAGCTGGCAGTGCCCTCTTTGGCCATGGTGGGAAGGTAGTGAGGAAGGCAGACCAGAGGCCATTGTTGCATTGGAAATCATTGGTCTACAAGACTCTGACTTATTTCTCTCAGTATCTGCCTATTTCCTCTTTATTGGCAGGGCAAGAAGGCTGGACAGGATGCTGTAATTGTTGGGGATCACAAAAGCTACATAATGGCTCATGCTGAGCCAGTGCTAGCTGAAGGTCAAGTAGGGCATTTGTCTCTCTTGATGTCATATTAACTGATCTCCATTTTTTCTTTCTTTTTTTAAAATTATACTTTGAGTTCTGGGGTACATGTACAGAATGTACAGGTTTGTTACATAGGTATACACGTGGCATGGTGGTTTGCTGCACCCATCAACCCATCATCTACATTAGGTATTTCTCCTAATGCTATCCCTCCCCTAGCTCCTAACCCCCTGACAGGCCCTGGCGTATGATGTTCCCCTCCCTGTGTCCATGTGTTCTCACTGTTCAACTCCCACTTATGAGTGATAACATGTGGTGTTTGGTTTTCTGTTCTTGTGTTAGTTTGCTGAGAATGATAGTTTCCAGCTTTATTCATGTCCCTCCAAAGGACGTGAACTCATCTGTTTTTATGGCTGCATAGTATTCCATGGTGTATGTGTGCCACATTTTCTTAATCCAGTCTATCATTGATGGGCATTCGGGTTGGTTCCAAGTGTTTGCTATTGTGAACAGTACTGCAATAAACATACATGTGCATGTGTCTTTATAGTAGAATGACTTATAATCCTTTGGGTATATACCCAGTAATGGGATTGCTGGGTCAAATTGCATTTCTAGTTCTAGATCCTTGAGGAATCACCACACTGTCTTCCTCAATGGTTGAACTAATTTACACTCCCACCAACAGTGTAAAAGCATTCCTATTTCTCCACATCCTCTCCAGCATCCTCTGTTGTTTCCTGACTTTTAAATAACTGCCATTCTAACTGATCTCCATTTTTTTTTCCAGCCATATTTCACACTATACCATTCCACTATATGTTGGAGATCGCATGGAACAATGGAAAACACATGTACTATACAGTTTTGAACTTGAAGTCTAATTTCAACACTGAATTTGGGCATGCTACTTATACTCTCTGGACCTTAGCCTTTAATCTGTAAAATTTTTGTTTCAGGGGTTTTGTAAATATTAATTAAGCATTAATAGAATGCCAACTGTGTGCTAGACACTGTCTCATGAGTACTGAGAGCCAGCATTCTCATAGAGTTTGCAGACTAGTGAGAAAGCTAGACATTAATTTAACAAATCATGCTAATGACTGTGTGATTACATTGTGAGAGGGACCAGTGCCTATGACTGTGCAAGTTGTATACTGCACAACTCCAAGGGGAGCCATTTATATCATATTCTATGAAAATGGTGTTCTGTGAACTTGTGCAGTTCATAAACTGTACAGCAGTGCATGGTAGTCCAGTCTGCAATAAGAGCTCTGAAGGAAAGGAAACTGGCTCTATTAGAGAATATGCAAAAGATAATTGATTTAGACTGGTGAGTAGGATAATTAAGTTAGACCTGCAGTTTGCTTCTGCAAGGAAATGCTACTTAAGTGGAAATGCAAAATAAATAGTAGTTTAGTGCTTAGTACTGGCCCAGATATAGCATAGAATCTATAGTGCACTTTCATTATTATATGTTCTTTCTCCTGAAAGTGTCTCTCTTGGGTCTTATTCTCCTGATATGCGGTGTCATTGGGTAGATTCCTGAGCAAAGCAGGCTCTAGAGCTAGGAAGGGACTGGGCCAGGAAGCTGACTGCCAGAGAAGAAACTCACAGAATAAATCCACACTTTTGATATCAGGATGGATTCTGAGGTACGGTTGAGCTAAAGTTGGGATGTAGTGGCTCTAGCTTGGGGTAAAGGCTGCAGATAAGGGATGAAACATGACAAGGCCTGGTGATATTATTACTGTTGTCAGTGACACTTCCAGGTCTGGGTCAGCTCCCAGTGATGCTCTCAACCCAGGCTGTGGAAAGCAGGTTCAGGAAACTGACATTAAGATCCACAGCCTGCCTGGCTGTCTTCACCAATCTCTGATGTAGGTCTTGGAGCAGGGGAAGAGGGCCAAGGCAGGAGAGGGTGAGGGGTAGGAGAAGGAAGCACTGCAATTGTGGTGGGGCTCACAGTGGGAACTGAGCATCAAGGAGCAGAGTCTCATGGCTTGCACCTGATGAGGTAATGCCACTTCCCCAAGGCTAGAGTGAAGACTTTCACAGCTGGCTCCAGTCTGGAGAAGGAGGGGTGTCTCACCTCCCATCTGACAGCTCTGTGGGTTAACATGCTCAGCCTCTCCTGAGTCAGGTCTTTCTCATCCTGTGACTTTGGTCTCCAGACTTACTATTTAGCCTTCTCCACTCTACTCTCCATGTGGAGAGGCTGGCCTGCATGGATGATGTCAGTGGATTCCCTTGCTCTTTGGCTTGTGGCTTCCACATGGGCTTGGCCAATGCAGTGACCCATGTAGGTGATTAGAAGGAAGAGAGTGAGATCATAGTATGCATCTCCAGCTCTCACCCCAGAAGGTCACCTCAGACTTCCTTGTCCCTTGACCAGGTGGTCACTATTGCCTTCCAGGTGTCCAATTCTACATGATTCCCTCTTTTTGGGTTTTGATAACTGCATTCTTTGCAGCCTAGGGTTGGTGACAGTGCAGCTTCTACCAGCCATGCGTTACTGCATTTTAACCTGGGTTACTGCAGTTTCTTTTATCCACACTTTTTGAAGTTGTCTTTTTGCAATAACTTCTCTCAAATAATCCCATTTTGATATTTCCATTTGTTTTCTGTTGAGAGTCTGACCCATAGAAACACCCTTCCACTTCCTTCCTTAATGTGAACTTCAACACATATTTCAGGTTCTAACTGAAATGCTGCCTTCTTTCTAGAACACTTCCTACTATCCCACCTCACTACTACACACAGAATTACTTAGCCCATACTTGGGTTTCCCACAACATGCCGTCCTCTGTTATGGTTCTTATTAGGTTTTGTGGGTGTTATCTGTTGCATGTCTAGCTTACTCTTCCCTTCTTCACACCAGGCTATGAGCTCTCCAAGTCAGGCGTGGATCCCATTCATCTTCCTATCCCTAGTGTTTTGCTTGCAGCCTGCTCCTTCTGTGAGTTTGCTGAGGCCCAACCATGAGGAGCTGGCCAGAGTCACTATGACTTTTTATTGGTTGCATCATCTTTTTTGTTGGGACTTGTGGCAGTTAATATATATAGGGCTGTGTGTGTGGATTTTCCAGCACTATTGAGAGTCTTGGCATAATGACATCTATGTAATCAGGGAGCCAGAGGAAGTGAGCTGATTTGATGAGACTTGGAAGAAAAATTATGCTTTGTAAACCCAATCAAGTCATGGCATAACAAGCACCATGGATTAAAAATCTACTATGTAATATGCACATCCATTATGCATCAATACAAAAGAAAAAATCTATATGCTAAAAGCTGCACTCATCCTAGTAGCGTGCCATGACTTTCACATCAGAATTTTGGAATGTTTGCAAAGAACTCTGGAAGAAACATAAACAGAAACAAAATGCAATTGATTTTATTTTGAGCCTCATGTCAAATACCTGCTATTCCCTCACAGGATTGGGTGATCATACCAGCTCAAGAAGTTACTGAATCTTCCCTTCCCTCATCCTTCATTTTCTTTCTTTATTCTTCCTGGCAACAGATGTCTGCAGCCTAAAATGCCAAAGTTTTATAGTAAATAAAAATTTTCTTCATACTCAGAATTTTCTCATGGCAGGCAGAGGTGTTTGAAGCCAAGTATGACTCATGGTAAGTTTCTAAGTAGTGACTTAATACATGCATAAAGTAACTTAACTTGGTTATAATTGAGAATGCAGAACTTAGATGATGCTCCACGGTATCAAAGCCTTCCAGGCAGAGGGGGCTGCTATCCACCATTCAGGGCCTCTTTGTCACCATCTCCTCTAATCAGCATGCACAGTGGAAATTCTACTGGTGACAGCCCATGTCATGGGGAACACTGATACTGCTCAGGTCAGTGTGTCTGGGGACTCAGAGCAGTTGATCCAATAACAAGTTCCAGAGCCTCCAGAGCAGAGTCCTGAGTATCTGCCACCCTTTTTCACCTACAGAAGCACAACACATGTCTTCATTTATTCTCTCTGGGTGAGTCTTTGTAAATTCCACTCGTCTTTCTTCTTTGGACTTTTTGATTAAGAATCCTGTCAGCAGAGCAATTTGATGTCCAAGGGAAGATGCTATTTGTGAGGCATTTTTCTTCTTCTTCTTCTTCTTCTTCTTTTTTTTTTTTTGTAGTTGAAGTGGAAGATCCTTTTATGCTTGAAAACCTTTCTATTACTTTTCCCCACCATGAATGTAAAGAGGAAGCTGACAGAATGTGTTAACCTTTCTTTCCTGTGCAACTTTGCCTGCATTGCTCTGGGACTGTGCACACAGCTTTGAATTCCACAGGTGCAGAAACACAGCTGCAGCTGCATGCTCTAAGTGCAGAGGGGCAGGGATCCCAGGTGAGGGATAACTTGCCTTCCTTGCCAGAAGGTGCCTGTCCTGCATGTGCTGATTGGAGGTAAGGACTGAAAAGTGATGGGGCCAAAAGCACACTCAGAGAAACTACAGGATAGAGAGCAAATTCACAACCTCTAAATCCCTTTTCCTAGAACTTGTTTCCTAGCCATGCCATGCCAAACTAATTTAAATATATGAATATTAATAATGGATTTGAAAATTATTTAGCATGAACCTACTAAGTGTCTGGTACCATGCTAATCATTATGGGTAGAATGCATAATTACATCCTGGAGAAGCTCAAGTCTAATGGAGGAGACAGATACATATACCCACATATCAAGTAAGCACAGGGAGTGTTATGGAAGTGAAAAGGAGGGTCTCCCTAATCTGGATCTAGTAGATGCTCCAGACTAAATCATAGCCATAGACTGCGGGGCTGCTGGGAGTACAAGGTGAATGTGCACACTCAGGTGGGTTGTCCTTTTGCTCTTCCTCAAGGTCTCAACCACTTGGATTAGTAAACAGGCATTTAGTTTTCAGTCCGGTGAGATTGTCCTCTGAGGCTGATAAAATGAAAAGCCTCCAGAAGCTTCTTAAGAAAGTATAATTTGAGTTCAGGCAAATACCTTAAATGATGCATCTGCGCTTCAAGGAGGAGGCGGTGGGGTGCACAGGCTGCTGGAAGTCAAGGACTGTTTTTTATATTCACAGAACCTAGGGCAATGCCTGGTAAAGAAAAGAAACTCAGCACCTACTGCTGGCCTAATGAGTTGGGAGGAGAGTGATCTGTGTTCCGGCTGAGTAGCATTGGATCCATCACTTTTCACTTATCTTTGTTTCCTTATCTAAGAAATGAGGAGTCATATTTGAAAGATCTCCAAGGACTCTTTCTCCTTTGATATTCTCTGAGTCAGCCAAAAAATCTAAAGAACCCCCACCCCCCAAAAAGTCCATCCTCTCAGAGAGAAAAGAGACCCAGGAAGGCTGACTGTACCCAGGAGGGAAAGGCCAGTTCTCTGGAGGGTATGTATAACATCAGCTCTTAATGTAAACTGAAATCAGATAAGCTCAAAGGCCAATGCATTTTATAGTGGAGAATTCACGGTTGATTGAACAGTTTGAAGATTAAATATTCAAGGTTAAAGATGCATTTCCATTAAGGGAATCCCTCTGACACTCACAGAATTTTTTTCAGTACCTCTTGTTTATGGAGTTATTTGGAACATTAAAATATAGGAAAAGAAGAGTAGTAATCATATTGCTTCTTGGATTTGGAAGAAAACTAAGATTAGACACCTGAGGATAATTTATGAAATTTGTCATAGTTGAGTGACAGACATTAATGATGGAAATGGGATATTGCATCCCTCTTCCATCTAAGTATTGAACAGGTGAAATGCTTCCTGGCAATAACTGATTTACCTGGAAAAAAACAGGACCACACACTGTCACTTATTTCCTAATCATATCCATAGTGCAACACAAAGGACTACTTTGTTCAAAGTGAAAATGCTGGAGGATCTGAGTGGGGAGCCCAATGCTACTAAACAATGTTTGTCATCTGAATATCTCACCTAAAATTCAGCCCAGAATTTTCACTTGAATCTTATGCTGACATTTGAGGAGTTCTGAAAAAGGAAGAAGTCATGTCTTAGAGGCTCTTTCTTGCTTGCATGCTTGCTTGCTTTTTTTTATAGATTCAGGCCTGAAAGGACATGAGTTTGAAGTTTTGTCATAAATTAGGTGGTTAGTGTAGTGAGAAACAAGACAGGCGGGACAGATGAACAAAGTAGAAATGTCATTAATTAGGAATTTTGCAGAGGTTGTACCAGAGAGTAATAGATATAGGAGATGTAGCCATAAAAATACTTTGTTCAGGGACAGAAAACATAATTCTTGTAGAGAGGGAGTTGGTAGGTTAGGCAGGGAAGGGCTTGGGAAGAAATCAGAGTTCAGGATGTTAGTCACAGAGGAACAGGAAGCAGGAACCCTTACATGCATAGATTTAGAGCAGAATAAAGAAGATGGTCAAAAAAAAGCTAGACCCATGAGTTGTTTCCATCATACTCCATAGCAAATGCCACTACACTTTACTTACTCTACACACCCTTCCAACTGCCTCCAGGATTGACCTCAGAATCCAGGGAAGACTGAAGTGGAAATCCAACTAGTTGCAGCTTCCAAGAGTGTGAGGTCAGGGTTTTGAATGAGCCATGCAATACCTGTATACTTGGAAAAGTCGTATCTCTAAATGCCCTTGTTTCAGAGGGTTTCAGAATTTTGAGCACTCTTAAACTCTTTAGGATGGGCTGGAAGAGTTAGCTGCTCAGTGTTAATGATATTAATAAGTATGTCATCTGTCAGGTCCACCAATGTGAAGCTGTCATCTGTGCAGATTCCACCCCACATGATTTCCTTAAAAGTGTTGCAGTTTGCAGATTGTAGCTCATTCTATGCTGGAAGAGAGAAAATGTGAGGTCTCCTGCATTTTTCTAAGGGTCTGCACAACTCTCAAGTTAAATCCATTTCCATTTCAAGTGAAATAATTACTTAGGATGAGGACAGTTGTAGTTCTCAGATCAGTTCATCATTAGCTAAGTTATTGTGTATCTGATAACTCCAAAGTTATGGATTTATTTTGGGAAATGAAAATAAATAAAAATCAAAGAAATGAGACCAGAATGAGTTTCATAGGCTGCCAACCATAAAAGATACCATTTGAATTTGTGAATAATGAATAGACAGGCTTTCACTTGGAATCAATTTACTTGGTTGCTACCAACTTCCCTATGAAACATATAAGCATTAACTTACATGCTGGTCACTTCTTAGGACACATTGAGAAATACACCAGGAACACTAGATGGTGTCAGAAGTAATTTTTAGTGTGAAAGGAGTCTACTTTATTCCTTTTTGAGTTTCTTACCCTTATAAAAACCTTCAAGTCTAGAGAAATGCTGAAAAATCTTCCTAAAGGAGAGCATTCAGATCAGCTAAATTAATACATGGGCGAGAAAGTTTATTTATCTAATTCCTAACACTGTGATTCCACCCAGGGCTAGAAGAAAAATAGGGTGGATTAGGAAGTCAGAGACTGGTTCTGGTGATGCCATTTAATAGCTATTAAATCTTAGACAAGTCTTCAAGTCTTCTGTTATTGCTGGCAATATTATAAAAGCTACTTATAGAATTGTTTTGAAAACTAAATAAATGAATATAGAGGGATATCACTAAACCATAAAGTATGAGTATTTTAGGTCTAAATCCATTTCTTTTACATATTTAGGCTGCCTATATTAAAACGGAAAGGTACAAACACATTTTCTGTAAATAAGGCATTATGACTGCATGTTTGTATCCCCTGAAATTTATACCTTGAAATCCTCACCCCCAAGTTGATGGTATTAGGAGGAGCCTTTGGGACTTGATTAGGTCATGAGAGAGAGTTGAGCCCTCATGAATGCAATTAGTGACCTGATTAAAGAGTCCCCAGAGAGCTCTCTTGATTTTTTTCCCACCTGTAGGGATGCAATGAGAAGTCAACAGTCTGCAACCCAGCAGAGGGTCCTCACCAGAACCTGACACCCTGCTCTTGGACTTCTAGCCTACAGAACTCTGAAGAATAAATTTCTGTGGTTTATAATCCACCCAGTCTATGATACTTTGTTTTAACAGGCTGAATTGACTAAGACAGGAGTGACTGGGTCTATCAGGGTATTGCTTTGATGAAAAAGTTTTTTGGAAAGAACGTGCATTTCATAGGGGAATATAGGTTTCCTCATTTAAAAGTTGCACCAAATGAATAAAATAGAAATCATTACCCACCATTTTTTTTCTCTTTCCTTGAATGTGAGGGAGAGTAGGATGATGTAAACTATCGTAAAGGTGGCAACCATTTCTCCAACACCATCTGTCAGCAGACAGGGTCTTTACCATAAATTTCCTCCTGCGTCAGGCCTTTGTGATTTTCAGAATTCAGGGACCATGACGTGAACCTGAAAAGGAAAATCTACTGGCATTGGCAGAATTTGTACTTCAGTTTGTACTCTGGCCTACAAACTCAGACTTATAAACAAGTGATGTGGGTTGGCTGTGTCCCCCACCCCAATCTCATCTTGAATTGTAGTTCCCATAATCCCCACATGTCTTGGGAGAGATGAGGTGGGAATAAATGAATCATGGGGATAGTTTCCCCCATCCTGTTCTCGTGATAGTGAGTTCCCATAAGATCTGATGGTTTTATAAAACCTTGTATGTTTTATAAGCACTCCTTCACTGAGCACTCATTCTTCTCTTTGCTGCTGCCATGTGAAGAAGGATGTATTTGCTTCCCCTTCCACCATAATTGTAAGTTTCCTGAGGACTCCCTAGCCATGCTGAACTGTGAGACAATGAAACCTCTTTCCTTTATAAATTACCCAGTGTCAGGTGTGTCTTTATTAGCAACGTGAGAACGGACTAATGCAACAAGTGGATCTTTACATTTGGAAATTTGAGCAGAATTTGAAAATATTAAACTTTATTCTGCATAATTGTGTTCCTTTTATTTGGAAGAGAGGCCATTTTGAAGATAATGAATGCTGTTGCTCTTTAATTTTTCTCTCGTGCTATTCTTCCTGGGACTACACCCTACTTTATTGACAATGTCTCATTAGTCCTCACAAAAATGATGTCCCCTGTGATTGTCTTTTTCTCAAGTTTCTCCTGAAAGAAATGAGTTTGGAACCATCTGTGAGAAATTGAAGAATTCAAAAAATTTCTAAGAGCTGAATGAAAATAATTTACATTTTTCAGTTGGAAACAAAAATCAGCAGGGTCTCTTGAGAAACACAATCTCTGTTCACCTTCCTCTGAGAGATGTGTGTTTGCCAACAGTACACTTCAAGGACTCTCTTGAAACTGATCCCAAGCACATTGAAAACATAAACAAAATTTGTTGGTTTCTGTTTTATGCATATCATTAGGGTCATAGAATGATGAGGAATCAGGGTTCTTATTTGTTAAGTGAAATGCTGTTAAATTCACATAGTAAAAGATGTCAAATAAATTTATAGGGGAGACAGAGTGAAAATGGAAATTGCAATCATTTAGACATGAACAATATTTTGTGTTTATTACCTGATCCTTCTCAAAGGAATTTAAGGAAATTATATAGTGTTAAAGATTTGAAGAAAACATTACTGAATCGCACTTGAGAATGACCTGTGAGTGGGGCAAATCACCCCTGAAAAGTCATTCTGCTTCAGCATGAACATGCACAATGACTGCATCTCCGTCCCTTTGGTAGGCAGTTTGCAGGTTAGAATCTTCTTATAATGAGTCAAAATTTGTCTCATTTGTTTTATCCACTTGTCCTAAATTCCACCTCACCAATATATAATTTTTTGTTGTAAATTACAGGCTTTCAGGAAGTCGAAGATAAATCCTTTATCCTATACAAGTTTTCTTCAGAGGAATCTGAAAGGAAATTACATGTTGTTTTCCTTTATGCTTCAAATATGCTTGGTAGATGTTTGCAGAAGTCTGAAAGTCTTTCATTCTATGGATGACACTTCTGCCTTGCTCTGTTATGATGAGAGTAGGCTGTTATGACTGGCTAAATGGTGCATCCTCAGTCAACAGAGATATTGAGATGTCTGTCACAGATATAAAACAGAATTGCTCTTTTCTCCTGGATCTTTGATTTTCTAAGGCAATATATGTAATTGCAGCTCTGGCATTTCATCTTCCTAGTATCTATTAGTGGAATGGCCATGGAGGTTGCAACCTGAGAAGCCAGTTCCAGATTTTCTCTGATGTCTGTCAGACAATATTGGGATTTACATTCCCTTCTTAGTTGATAGCAATTGAAAGTGCCACTGAGGCAGCCAATGATACAATTGATCAGCTTGGACTGATCAATAACTGAGTACCTAGGGCCTGATTTGTGTGTTAGCCTTCTAGTTTCTGAGAAAAAATAAAACTTTCCTAAATAAAGACACTGGTTGGGTAGCTGAGATCAGAAACTCAAGGTCAGTGTGTGATTCAATGGCAGTGCAGTAGCCTCAGACTTGCCCTGCCTCGCTCCACTTTTGAGGTTGGTTGACTGCCCTGTGACTGTACAGAGGTCCTGATGGTTTACCTGTTGCACTGCTTTGTTTGATGTGCATAGTATTCCTATTGCAATTCCCCTGTCTTGATGAATCAGCTCTATCTAGGCAGCGGGCAAGAAGAACATATTGGGCAGTTACATTCTCAACTCAGAAAGATCACTTTGCTCTTTGTGAAGTCCTCCTCTCTTATTTATATGTACATTACATATATATATACACACACACTATATATATATATTGCTTATCTATTTTTATATACATAAATTGTTTACAGATGTTGGAAAAGAGGTAGCAGAAGTCTGATCACAGAGAAAAGGGAAAGGATATTCTTACTTCTACCCTGTAATATTTTCCCAGAACTCCATCTTATCATTTTCTGTGCTTACTCATCAACTCTGTAAGAAATGGGGGGAAAAGATTTCTTCCCTTAACTTTCTATCCTTCTCAAGTGCTTGTGTGTACAACTGTTTTTTGGTCAACATTTTATATTGGGTATTTCTGTAGACTAATGAATTAAATCTAAATTATTGAAACCTGAAGATTAAAGATTTATGCGGTGTTTAAAATGTGGGGTAAGTATAGTTGGGATAAGTTATTGATGTCAGAATGAGGGATTCTCTGGCCTGGTGATTAGATTTCTTATTCTTCTCAGAGAGCCTTTGGTGGTTTCATCTATTATTTTCTCCTGTTTTTAAATTTGTTATAACATGTAGCCATAATTTTTCAATACAGAAATACAGTAATTAAAAAAACTCCACCAGAAGTCTAAAATAAAATAAAATAATTACTTACTGGAAAGTTAACCATTTTCTGAGGGTTCCATTTCCCTGTTTGTTCTGGGCTCCCGGCATTTAGATTTTCTTGACTTTACACACCTGGTAAACATTTGGAATGGGAAGAAGAATACATCATAAATGTCTGAAGATGTAAAGAAGATTAAGCCTCTGTGAGCCTACCAGAGCTTCTTGGTTACATACATTTCTCCACCATAGGTTTAGGAAAAAACTTGATGAGACAAACATTTCAGTTTTCTCACTTCCCTTTGTCAGCCTGTAGCTAATATAAGCAAGAAACCCATCAACTCCCAACTTTATGGAGCTCTAGGGATTGCCTTAACCCAAAGAAAAAACTTCACATGTATCAGGAGAGGAAGATCATATGATCTAACTTGGTAACTTGTTTCCCTAAATGTGCAAGGCTTTCTCAAATTTTTTTTGTTAAAGTCTTATCCCTTCTCTAATCCAAACCTTGCCCATAGTATTCTGCATTCCTGGAATGTCTCCCTACTCTGTCCACAAGCAAAGCTTTAGTCACTATCAAATCTCAATTCAAATGCTTCTCTGTGAAGTTCCTCTTTCTTTACCAGGTAAATACATTTGCCACTTTTTTATTCTGCTTATGTGCTCAATACAATAGTAATCTTGTTGGATGTTGTTATCTATATGCTGATATATACACTAATTTTCTTGAGTGCAGCGACATACGATATGTATCTTTTTTTTCTTTTAATGAAATCTCACTGTGTCACCCAGGTTGCAGTGCAGTGGTGTGATCTTGGCTCACTGCAACCTCCATCTCTTGGGTTCAAGAGATTCTCCTGCCTCAGCCTCCTGAGTAGCTGGGATTACAGGTGTGAGCCATGATGCCCAGCTAAGTTTTGTATTTTTGGTAGAGACGGGGTTTCGCCATGTTGGCCAGGCTCGTCTCAAACTCCTGACCTCAAGCCATCCACCTGCCTCTGCCTCCCAAAGTACTGGGATTACAATGTGAGCCACCATGCTCGCCAATATATATATCTTTAATACAGGTTTGCTATAATTCAGATCCTAACGCTTAGTCATCCAGATATGTGGAGACATTCTTTAAAGTGGTTGTTACCTACTTCTTTTCTTTGCTATCCGTGGGCTGTAAATAGTTACTGGGATGATCTCTCAGTTTGTATTTTGGATCATAGAGCTGCTTCTCTGCTCTGCATTAAGAAGAAAGAGTAATTAGTCTCAAATTACTTTGTGTTTGTATTAGATTACACATTTATATTTGAAATAGAATCAGTTCAATGACTAAGATGAAATACATAACATTTATCCATGGAGTCACAATAACTGTTCCTTGTTACAGAAATCATGGAGAAGGTGATATTTTCTTTATTTCAGATTTTCTTAGGTTCAATTTGCAGTATCGTAAAATAACAATGATGTTCTAAGTCTTTGCATTTGCACCAACTCTTACACTTTATATATACTCCCTTCAGGGTACATTTTCAATTCATGAAGATGCTTGGTTGCAGGCAGTATGCTTGGCACCTTTGACACAGAGAATAATAATACAAAGTCCTTGACTTTTAGAAGTCACAGTGACGTTGTGTAAAATACTTTATAACAGCTTATAAATACACATACACATGCATACATACATACATACGTGTACCTACACATGTAGATATACAGCGGGACTCAGCTGATAGGGAAATACATTCTATCTACATTTGAAATCTATTGACATGGATTATCTTCTAATATTGATAAGAATCCCGTGAGGCAGGTATATCAGTTAGGTTTGTATTTAACAGTGAATGATAGAAATCCATAAATTGGAGACTTACACAAGATATGTATTTATTTCCCAAGTTAAAAAAAAAAAAGGCAGGAAGAGGAGCTCCAAGGCTATTTAAATGGTGATTCTACAGCCATGGAGGAGGCAGAGTCCTTAGAGCTTTCCTCCATGGAGTGTCTAGATTATGGTCTTCATGTCAGCAAGGTTGATAATGAATTTTTGAGTTTGGAGGAGAAGGGAGGACACTTTCTCTTTCAAGGAGGCTTGTGAATGTCTCATGCAATAATTCCAGTTTGGTAGAGAATTGGAACTTTGCAGTTGAAGAACTGCAGACTCAGGAAGTGATGTGGTGATGCATGGAGTTAGAAGACCTGTATTCTTGGGCAGTTCAATCATTTACTAGAGATGGGATTTGGAGCAAATCACTCATTTCTGTACATGCTCAATTTATCACTGGAAAAAAAAATCTCCAGTATGAGAGAGCTTTGTAATAATTAAATGAAAGAGTGCATACGAAAACCATTTCAAACCATAAAGTACCATACTAATTAGTTATGGGTGGAGCTGAAAGTTTGGTTACATTACACCATTAGTTCAGTCAAACAATGATTTCAAAAGCCAGCAGATATAAGATTTTTCGAGAGTTTGCAGCTGCACATCACTTCCTTTAACAAATGTGTGGATTCATTTCCATCTTTCACTTTAGAGTTCTTCTAGGTTATATTGTTCTGCAGGAAAGATAAAAATGTATGTCTTTCCGTGGATGTTTCTTAGAGTAAAACAGCGAAATCCAGCTTCATTCTAGTTTGTGTTCAGAATGAACGAGGCTGAGAAAACACGAGAGTGCTGAGACTGAACAACTCAAGAGGAACATCGTGTCTTGCTGCCTTGGCCACCTGGCAGGAGCAGGAAAACCACCAGAGCCACAGGAACTAGAGGACATCCAGAAGAGTTCTCCAACAGCTCTGGTCCCATGCTGTACCTCAGCCTTGGAGGGATGAATTTTTATTAGAGCTCTGACAGTGAATGAGGACTTTAGGAAATGTATTCACCTGTTTGGGGACTTACTTTCCTCTTACAAGACATAACTATTTCCCCTTGGATTTATGTTTCCTCAAAATCCTTTTCTATCTTTTTTCTGTTGATTTAATTATTATTTAATAAAGTAGACTTAAATGAATACATTCTTTGAGGGAGAAATTGAGGTACGGAAAGAAACAACAAGTGAAGAGGATGGGGTGTTTGCAGTTCTGGCTCTGCTGCTTACCAGTTCTGAGTTCTTGAACAAGTTATTTAGCATTTCTGGGCTTTGGTTTTCTCATTTGTAAAATGGGGTTAACAACACCTACCTCTCAAAGTTGTTGTGAGAGTTAAAGCAACCAGTGCAGTGCAGGCACACAGGAACCATTCATCATTCAATAAATGATGCTTGTTATTCAGTCCAGGTCAGGGCTGCATCAAGACACCCAGAACTCCTGATCAAAGTCTAATGCTCTTTCTACTTTATAAAATACCTTTGCTGATCCCTTCCTGGCCTCAGTCAAAATGTGGGCTGCCATCTACTCCTCTGTTTATCTGGGTGGGAGGTAAGAAGAGAGAAAAGAAGTTCGCCTAAATTATGGATGGTGTGATGTAGTGAGAGATCTTAGATGGTAAACAGAGAGGGGCCTAAGAGGTTTATACCTGCTTCAATTCACAGATGAAGAAACTGAGGCCCAGAGAGGGGAGGACTCGGTAGAAATCAACAGCTTTCCTTTTCTTTTAATGACTTTCTATAAACCTTTTTGGATTGCAGCAAAGCCCAAGTATGGATTTGTCTGTTCTGCCTTGCCTTGCCTGGCCTCATATGTGCAGGGGCCACATTTGGCACAGAAGGAAAGTAAAGCCCAATTATGACTGTCTACAGCAGCTGGCACAGTTAGGATTTTAATATGCACTTAACAGTGGTTTTATAACCCTCAGTTTGCAGCAGACTGGTTTCTTCTGTATGTCACTAATTAAATGTATCACTCTGGTTCACCATGGATAGAATGGATCAATGAGTGTTGTAATACATTGAAGGAGATAAAGCACTGTTCAAAGGCTTTGTATGAAATGTCATTGGTCTTATTAGTATTTCTAGCTTGATTCTTAAAATTCTCAGCAGCTTAGCAACCAGAATTATTCTTTGAAATATCATTTTAGTCCACCAATCGGAAAGCTAGCCTTTGGTTGGGGAGGAGGTGGGAGAGGTCTAAGTCTATAGGAGTGATTCTGTTGGAAAAAAATCAAGTACAGTGGTCCCGAAAAGGTCATTAAAGATTGCTAACACACATCCCTGAATTTTCATATAAGGAAAAAGACCCGGAGAAAGGATGTAATTTGATCTAGATTACATAACCAGATGGTGAAAGAACAGGGACGAAATCTCCTGATTTGTAAGACAATATACAGAACTTAATGCATAGTTTGTTTTTGTTCTTTAGAATCCATGGAAAGAAGTAGTGACGTAAGGTAAAACATTGCCTAGCAATTTGAATTTAGATGGTTAAGTTCATGGGTAAAAATTAAAAGCATGCCAAGAAAAAATGCTGCCTGGTGAATACTCTTCAAGCAAAATATAAGCTCGATAGTCATCTCCTTGAGATAGGCTTTTTACCCTTGTAGCCCTGTGCTGAGCAGTTAGTACATATGGGAGTGAGCGACTGATCAGCTGAAAAAGTTCTGAGATGAGCTGTCATTTCATTTCTTGAGCAGTAATTATCTTTTTTATTACTTGTGCAAGTCCAGAGAGGGAGTGGGGGGGGTACTGGTCTACCTGCTTATCTATGTGCGTGCTCCTGTTCACAGGTTCGGGTCACTGATCTGTTCCTGCCTTTCCAAGCTGAGAGGTCAAATCCTCAGCCATAGAGCTCTGTTTGCTGAGGCGTAATTACTGTAAAGGGTGCATTTGGCTTTGCTGGGCCCTGGCTGTGTTTTTGAATATTGGACATTTCTCACTTCAGAGCCAGTGCCTGGTTGAAGACAGTGATGCATTTAAAACTAAACAATGCTGGGTCCATGGTAGGGCCCAAGCACAGCTGCATGGCCATGCTGGAGCTGTGACAGAGGATTCCAGCCTTCCAGAAGTCCTGTGATTTGCTGAAATGTGCCTGTGGGAGAGGGCTACTTCCATGCAAAGACCTCAAGGGAGACCCAGAACAGCGGAGAAAGATTTCTGTTGATGCTGGTGCAAAGTTGGGCTCTACTGTGGGCCTCTTTTTTTGTACCTCACAGATATGGGTCTGATACTGTCTGTGCCCCCAGCTTGGTGCAATAAACTCAGAAGACAGCCTGTTCTAAAGACAGCCCCTGTCAAAGAAGCATAGTTCTGTTGTTACTGCTGATCATCCTTACTCCTCCAATGCTAATATAGCAGAAGTAATTAAAATAATAGCATATACAGTAATAAAAAGAATCATAAAGAAGCGACAATGGGTTTCATATACTTTACAAATATTAATTTATCTAAATCTTTCTAGGAAGGTATTATTTAACCCATTTCACAGATGTGGGCATTGAAATTTAGCACAACAAACTAAGTTGCTACTAAGGACCAGATGTACTTAAAACATTCCTCTTTGGTCCTTAAGTCATTATCTTTTATACAACATGACATATTTGCACAGTTCTTTACAATTTATAAACTAGATTCACTTCTGCTAACTCATTTGACTTTTAAAACAACCCCATAACCTCATTTTTCTTATGATCTTTATTTTATACTTTAGGAAATGTCTCATTTATATTTCTGGAAAGTGGCAGAACATTAAAAGTCAGATATCTAGGTATCTCTTACATTTGAAAACAAAATGAATGGAGTTTTGAATACATTGATATTGTACTGATCTGTGATTCCAAGAATACCTGCATTGTGCCCGGATCACATCCACTGCGCCTCATGGCTTCCCCAGGGAAGCGTGCTTTCAGGGAGTTAGGGAATACAAAAGTGAAGAGCACATTATTATTAGCTGAGATTTGGCATAAAAGTCAATTGCAGAGAATTCTGACAATCTGAATTGTGTGGAACACTTGTTATTAAGTAACTGGGCCTCAGCCTAAAGCAGGCCATGAGGCCAGCTGCTCTGGTTCATTACCAAGCCCAGCATGCCTCTTGGATTTTACCCCAGTGTGGTCCTTTGAATGGAAGGACCAGCAAAATGGAATCAAAGAACTGCAACCAGGCTCTGACTTTTAATAAATGTTGACCTGCAATTATTAGTTTAGCTTTGACCAGGATGAGAAAGGCAACAGAGGAAAAATGTGGGGAAATTAAATTTCTTCATCTTTATTCATATCTGGCATAGAAGGGCAAACTCCCATGTTGCCTCTTCCTTCTTCAGATTGCTAAGACTGTTGGATCTGGACCTTTATCTGCCTTTCTCTCCAAATTAACTCTCTTTGTAATTTGTC